TAGTTATTTTAGTTCCCTTAGGTGGCCAACTTTCAAAGTCCCATTTTATCATATTTTTAAAGAATTCAAAGAAAAACTATTTTCCCACAGGAAAGATTCTCATAATTAATTTCAAAATATTATTTCAAACTTATCTGAACCCTTAATTCATTTGTAATTTTCTAAAAATCAAAGTTTTAATTATCCTTTTGCAATTTATTCCAGGAAAAAATGAAGTCCTTAAACTTTATTTAAAATTGCTTTCACCTAAGGATTGAACTTGTCAATCTAAAAGATTTCTAATAATTGAAAAGCAGTTAACAAGCAATTTCTGAAAGTGATTATAAAAAAGTATGCGATCTTATTGTCCTTCCAAACATGCCAACCACAGTTTGAGCAAGTTGGTTATTTCCTTGTCTCCCAGAGTTCTAAAATCATCAGAGACTACTGTCATGAAAAATAAGTATATGGAGCATTTTTGGGTGACACCAGGTCTCTCTTTGTCCAGACAGGAATTATGAAGAGCTGGTATATTGGTTCCCTCTTTATTCCATTGCAACCATCTTCACTTTTCCATTTCTTTCTTGGAAGTTGACTTTTTCACATTTTGAATGAATCTGTTGCAGAGTGTATAGCAACTCATCCCACCTAATTTGCTGCAATATCCTATTGTATGGTGCTGCTCAAGTGAGGTCCTTGAAAGTCCTCATCAAACCTAAGGATGAGAATCAGCATAACTTTAACTTCATCCTGCAATCAAATTTCATGTTTGATGAAATGCCAGAGGAATGTTGGACTTTGGAAATCAGCAGAATTGCACACTGGGATCATCATACCTCTCCACCTGATTAAATAGAACAGATGTTGCAGCAATAAAATCACCAGAGTCCATTCTTCATTGTTACTCCCTTGCTCAGTTCCCTTTAATGGAGTACCAACTTTCTTTTTTTTTTTCCTTTTTCACTTTACAAAAACGAAATACATTTTTTCTTTCTTTCTTTTTTCTTTTAACAGTACTGTGTCATATATCTCTTACAATTATTTACAGTTATTTACATTTATTATTTATACATTTTTATTTCTCTGTTCTAACCAATTATACCACTTATCCCATATCTCATAAAATTCTGTTTCTTCCTTGTCTTTCATTTCTAGGGTAAGCTTGTACATCTCGGCGCATTCTAATATCTTGTGAATAATCATGTCGTTTGTTGGTATATTTTCACATTTCTAACACTGCGCATAAGCAATAAGTGCCGCTGTTATTATGTGTACAATGACAGGGATGTCCAATGTCACTTCTACTTTTTATTTTGACTTTAGAAGTGCTATTAACCCAAATTAGAATTAATAGAGAGATAAAAGGATTAAAGGTAAAGACAGAATATAAGACGCCACTAGAGACAGGAAATACCCTAATGAATGAAATAGAAAAATATGGGACAGTGGCAGGATTGAAAATTAATAGAGTGTGTATGTGTGCAGTGTAATCTCCCTTGCCTTGTATTCCAATTTTAACCAAAAAAGTGATAATGGAGGTTAATTCATAAATGATATAATCAAAACTAGGCAACCGTGCTAATTCATGAAAACGCAGCCTTTGCTTCATATTCTACTGATGTATAGTATCAATGCAGTCACCTCTTATGTGAACATACAGTTGTGTGTTCCACAACTGAGAGTTTCCTCCATCCCTATATCTCCTATTTGTTACTTTCAGGTTCAGAATCTTTTTGGTCTATTTGATCATCTCTTTTCCCTATATATGCTATTGTAGTAGAGGCAAAAGAGAATTGCTGGATTCATCCGGACCCCAAATGATCTCTACTGCCCTGTTCTTTCACTGCTGCTCCCTTGAGTGTATAACCAGCAGCTTCTGTACCACACTGGTTAAATAACAGTTTAACCAATTCTCATGGATTTCATTTGGCTTAATGGGTTACAAATATAATTACACCATACGCCTACATCATTTACTAGGAATTCACATTACTTGAGAATGCTGTGATATACATAATATCAACCAAGTATTCCAACGTACTCTCAGTTTTTTGAAATGATGAGGATAGATTAAATAGCCAACAAGCCCCTGGACTTTTATAACATATGGATTGCACATGGGCTTGAAAGCTAAGTAATCTTGTGCCTGACAACTTGGATGGAAATCATAGGAAATACCAGAAGTGCAAATTAGAAAGGACAACAAATTCATTGTTGTATCCACAAATAATATATAGTGTGTCATATTATACAATAAAATAAATAATAAGATTGTAAATTATAAATTATAAGACGGTAAAAAGAGTAATGGATGTAAAAGGTTACAGCAAAATGAATCCAAAGCTACAATTAAGAAATTACATATTTCTTTGAAAGTTTAAATGACAGTAAAGCAAATGTAACAAGAAAATAGTTCATTTTTTTAAGGTCTGAGCCCTTAAGTTTACTGCTATCAGTAATTTCGCTCTGATCTCATTGTAAATGAGACAGTGGAGGACAAAGTGGTTAATGTCCTCCACTTAACCAATACTGCAAGGTCATAGATATTGTTTGATAGGGACTTTACAAAGTCTCCTTTCAAGTTATGCAGATATCACGATCTGTAGGTGAAGGGAAGTTAAACCCCTTTTCACTGAAGCACTGGAATCGCTTTCAAAAAGCCTATCTGTAATCCTACATTCTCCCAAAGGTGGTAGAGAACATATTTGTAAGATGGGTGACAAAAGGCTGGACCATTGATTCTCAAATATTTACTCAAATGGTGATGGTCTTACCTCCATCCTTAAATAGGCAGCAGGAGTGCCCTAAGGGAGGCAGTAAATCTTATAATGAGGTTATTTTGGGCTACTTCCAATTGGGCAGTATTCAGACTGGACTAGATAGTATAACAAAGCAAAACAAGGTGTCATGGAAGACAGCAATAATAAATCACTTCCAAAATGTGCCAGGAAAATTGCATGCATTTGTTCATGGAATCACCACGAGTCAAGTTTTTTCTTGAGGGTATATGTCTAATATTTTAAAGTTAGTCTCTTGACATTGTCATCTCAATGTTCCTTTTTTCTGAGAGCCAAAGCTATCCATCAGGATGTGAGGTAACCTTTTTCAATCTAAAAGTGTTGCAAACAAATGTTCAACTGTTAACAATTGTGGGCCATGAGTTAAAAAACAACCCTTCTTGCATTTTACTAGCCTGTTTCAGGAAAAAACAGATGGGGGATTATTTCCCTTTGCCCCCATGTAGAACAGTAGGTTCTATATACCTTCTGTTCTATAGTTAAATATAAAATGTAGACATTAAACCTATGTTCTCTTTTCCTCTAAAGATATAAAATATATAAAAAATGACTTTATATAAGGCCTACCTGCTGATTTCCACAGTCTAAACCAAAAGATTATTGCAGTGATTGTCATATTTTAGGGGGGTTGGAGGAAGGGGAACAGTAAGAAAATATTAGTCACATAATTGTCCCTTTTTGTGTTCAAAATTAAAAAAGAATGCATGGTTTCAGTCCTGGCTTTGTTTGAGTTCCTAAAAAAAGGAGTTCTCTTGGGGAGGAAGTATATACCTTGCAGTATTTTATCATAGGTCACATTTGGGTTGAGATAATAGATGGTTACTAATACATGTTTACTATGACACTATAAAGACAGGTTATGACACAGTTAAGGTTATTGGATGCAATGATAAAAAGCAACTTCCTTTGATTTAATCCTGAACAGTGAATAGGCATCTTATCTGAAATGTAAGGGATGTTGAAATTATTTGAAAAATACATCAAAGGAACCAGGCTGCAAATGTATGAATGCTGATCTGATCTTGCAGTTCTGATTATCATTCTTCTTCTTTCATCTGTAAGACAGCCTATTCCAGACATATTGTAATCTATCCCCTTTGTACCTTTTTAATAACAATGTCTGGTACATTATGTTTTAAGTACCTGTAAATCTGAACTTTGAAATCCCTAATAAGTAATAATAGCAGCAGCAGGAGGAGGAGTAACAGTAAATAGTAGTAATCTGAAAGTTATGACCTGAAATCTTTGGAGAAGAACCAGAATGTTAGTTTCCTGTCTACAAGGTTTTTAAATTTTATGTTTCAAGAGAGGTGTCTATTATGTCAATCAGACAAACGTCTCCCACTCAAGGAAGTTAAGAAAAACTAGGGATTATTTTCCATATTATATGGGGCTACTCTTCTTCTCTCCAAAAAGAGAGTGGCTTCCAATTATATGAGATGTAGAAAGTCTACTGGCATGGCATGTGGAGAGGATCTTTTAATGTTATAACAGGGTGAAAATGGTCCCCCAAATTGAACTAAATCCTGTGCCAGGTTGTTTCTTTAGAGGATGCTTGGTTAAGCAATGACATGAGCTCCGCACCCTGGCCAAAGTTCATATGCTCTGACTACTTTTGCCTTAAAAATGTTTTCGTGGTCATCAGTAGCATGGCACAAGAACATATATTGGTCCATATCTCATGAACATTTCCTCTCCTTGGTTCTGGATCTTTCCAGCTTTCAAAAACAAGTCACTCATTTCAGAAGGGTGCCTAATAGTTTTTTTAAACACCTCACCAAAGGATGCTCACCTAACAGAGTACTTCTACTTGTTCCTCTCTCGTTTCAAACATCAATATCTACTTATCAAAATCCTGGATAAGTATTCAGGTTTTGTGGGGAAAAAATGAAAACCCAGACTGGTATTATCTGCAAGAGACTGAGTGCCTGGCCAAAAAAAAGATATAATATAAATTCAGAATGATTTATTCTGTTGTGGTTCAATCTTTTTCTCATCTTTCAGAATACACACCACATGCAGTTCTAGAGCATTCCCTCCCACACTCTCTGCTGACATATTTCTGTGTCAATGTCCCTCCTCTATCCTTCCCACAGGCAACACCAATTGATAGCTTGAATCTTTATAGAAGGGCCACCCCCTTTCTCCACCCTGGGATATCTGTTTACCTTCCCTAGTGTTATTTGTTCTTCCATATTTATCTGCACCTTTATTCCAGCAACAATGGATCTTCTCTCACTCACCTTCACACTAATTGTGATCTTTCTACTTTATCAATGGAGCATGATCTTCAGATTCCTCTGCAAGTTGGCCTTACTCAGTTGCTGGGTTTTATTCCTGTCTGTCACAATATCCCCTTGGGTAGCTGTATTCATTGGACAAAGAGTGGAAAACATGAAGTGAGTAGATGTTAATTCTAGCTTCAATTTGAGAGATGAGAACAAGATAAGTCTTGGCACCAGGTTTTTCTGAAAGATAGACCTGTGATAGCCAACTTCTTCAGCCTAGGACAGGGCTTTTCAACCTTTTTACAGATTGTACCACTTTTAGGACATGACAATATTTGAGTACCACCAGTGCTTAGCAAGGTGTCAAAAAACTGATGACAAAAAAAGGGGGGGGGGATTTTGGGTTTTACTGATTAGATTCATTTGTTGTTATAGAAATGGCTAGTTTATAATATTATGGAAAAGTAAATAGTTGAGGTTCAATGTTAATGCTTCTACTGCAACAGAGGAAGTATGTTCTTTTTCCCTTCTCCCACTCACTTTCCTCCCCTTTTTTCCTCCCCACTGTGTCCTATTATTTGCTTTTGTATTTTTGTATTTTATTCTATAATCTAATAAAATATTACAAACTGTAGAAAAAAAGTAAAAAAGTACCAGTTTTAATTTCTTTGGTGGCTGTTCCTTTGCTGAATCCCTTTCCCTTTGCATTGACAAATGTATGATGAATTTATCCATGTCTATTAATATGCACCACTACCAGCTAGTTCAGGGGTCTTCAAACTTGGCACTTTTAAGACTTGTGGACTTTAACTCCCAGAATTTCTCAGCCCTCATGGCTGGTTGAGGAATTCTGGGAGTTGAAGTCCACAGGTCTTAAATTTGCTAAGTATGTAGACTCCTGAGCTAGCTGGTTTGCCCTTCTGAGCTCTTCCACAGTGTAGTAAGAATGCACCCCCCCCCCCAATCCTTTCCCTGTACCCTTAAAGACACAGGAATCAAGTGCAAAGCAAGAAAATAAAGAAACACAAGCTCCGTTTTGTTTTCTCTTTAAGCTGCCTCAGGCGTGTCACGTGTCACAATGTTGCAAATCTAGACTGAAAGGCTCCGGCAATTGTGAAAAGCTTTAGTTTCAAATTAAGCCTGTTTACCTTCAAACAAAACTTTCTAAAAGCCACAGACAGACTCAATTAAAGAGGGTAAAACTAATTACATTTGTTTAAAGGGATTAAACTTTTCCTGTTGTCTTTTTTCCCCTTCCTCCACCCAAACCACATTCTTTTATAGCCTCTCCTCTCTCCTCCCCCCCTTTTTCTTCAGTTCCCCTCCAGCTCCCAGCTGCTTCTGGAAGCACCAATCAGCTGGAGCCCTGCCAGCTCCTGGGGCTTCTGCCTGAGCCCAGACAGTCCTGCAGCTACAGCTTGGCTCGCTTTGGCTCATTCCCCTCCCCTGCTACACTTGGCTAGCAATCGCGTACCATCTGCCATGTGGCAAAGTACCATAAGTGGTACACTACCACCAGTAGAAAAGCCCTGACCTAGGGGGACAAAGATTTACTTACAAAGCAGTATGAGAACCAGATAGTTCCATCCTTTAGATCAAGAAGATAACAGTCTTTTTTTCTTCAAGAAATTAGAAGTACAGTGGAAAAAAAAATGATGGATCTTGCTATTAAGGGCATCCTTTTTTGGCTTGATTTATGCCCATTTGCGAGTGGTTTATTCAAGACTGATGGGACAAAAGAAAAAGAGAAGTGGGGGTAATTCCTGCAAAGGATGCATAATTACTTTTCATATCAGTTTTGACTTAATCAACACCCATTTTTCATGAGCCTATCCTTTCAAAAATCCATTGGCACTGAAAAGATTTAACAATTATTTATGGTATGAACTCATGGTTATGGTCCATTTCATCAGATGTCTGAAGTGTTTCCCTAGATAATCAGAAATATTTGTATGTGTATACAGACATGATACGCAAGGGGACATTATAAGTGGCAATGGTAAAAGAAAATTGAATTGCCGTTACTTTAATATTTAAATGAAGGTGTTCAAAATCTTTACAGTGCCCAATCATAAAATAATAAAAATAAAAACCTATTATTAATAAGATTAACTCCAGTAGTAAAATAAAAATCTTTTACAGATGCACAATTGAATTGATGCAGCTATTTTATTTCAATGTTTTCATTTAATTTATGTTGTGATGGCCACTTTAAATTCAATAATAGATGAAACCTGAAAGGTATTCTAATTGATTTCTGAATATTTACTTTCTCATGGCAAATTTATGCCTATTGATTGGTTCCCCTCCTTTTAAAAAAAAGCCCTAACCTTTACAGTTTTTGTCAGATGTAAAAAAGTCAGGGCTGTTTGTAAAAGGAGGGGAATCAATCAATTGATATATAATACTTTATAATAAAATAAAATTTTATTTCAGCACTTTGATCAACCATGTACTCTTTACTAGAATACTGATGTTAGTGGACAAAAAGCAATGAAGAAAGTTTACTGTGAACAAGGATATAAGGAGAAGAATTGTGGCAGGAAGAGTAGAGAGGGCTTTTTGTTCAAATAAGCATTTTGTCTTGGGATTCTTAATTGATTGTTCTGCCAATGGATTGTTGAAAGGCCCTTTTGATAGATAAGATAAATTGGAAGATGAAATGATAAACAAATTGGATGTTGTGAGGTTGATGCTGTTAAGCCTTCTAATATGATTCCTTGGATAGAGATGAAGAGGATTGACATCTGGATTTATTATATTTTGTTCCAATTGGCTAGTCTGGTTGTTACCTGTTTAAGGTTAAGGAACCACTTGTGAGTTCTATCACTCAAGCCTCATAAGAGGCTTTTAATAAATTTAAAACATTTCCTCATAGTCACTTTCTTCCATGCTATCAAGCTGACTGGAATATAGCTAAATTACAATGAAAGCATGTTTCTTACATGTATAGCCACTGTGTGAGTGTGTTGTGTGCTGTATGGCAGCATGTGACAGAAGAGATGGGTAGATGAGTAAGAGAATGAGGCTGATGGTTGTGTGGCTGGACAGAAAGACCCATAAGAGGAATGTAATTAGAAGAGTGTATATAAAAGAAAAACACAAAGAAATGTGGAACACCAATATTTTGGTTGGGTTGTAGTGATATAAAAATATGCATAAATGAGGCATTATATGTTTGTGTAATGCAAGTGGACCTTTGGAGTAAAATGGTCCCCATTCTCTAAATTCTTTCTACTCTTTTTGCTGGGTTCTGTCTGAGAGGTAATGACTGAAATGAGTGTTTTAATTTTTTTTAAATAATGATTGATAACTGACTAATAAAATATCCTTATATCTACTCATTCCCCCCAGCCCCACCCTCACTGTCAACCATCCTAACTTGATCAAAGACTCTGAAATCCATTGTTAACGAAAGTACACTTTAGTAAAGCCACGAAGTTACAGAAGAAGCAAAGCTGGATCTGGGATTTCTGTAATCAAAACGTATAGTTAACTTTTCCCTGGTTTCGACCTTCCTCCCTGGTTATCTTCAAGAGTCCAATTAAATTCCAACAAATTGTTTGGGTAACAGTCCCTGGCTTTATGGGCTGGAGGGTTCTGCATTTCATAGTGTGACCTTGGAATGGCCGGTGGCTCTCATGGGATGGCACAATGCATTGTTTCGATTCCTGGAAAAGACTAGTCCATAGGGTCATCTTCTTCTCTATTATCGCTCTCAAGAATGACCTCAGTTATCTTGGTTGGAGTTCCCTTGCCATCATTAGAGGATGGTGTGAAATCTACAACCTCCACTCCTTTCCGCCCCCCTCCTTCAGCTTAGGGGGTCTTTCTCTTTCTTCTTGATGCTTCTTGCAGGGGTGACTGTTGGCTGACAAGCTAGGCACTCAGCAGTCCACTGGCCCTCTTTGCTAATAGTATTTGGTGGAGCATCGGGGGTTTGGCCCTCCCTTACCCGGTTTTGAGGGTTCTCTCTTCTCTGAGGTGTAGGGATTTTGCATCTGCTGTCCAGTGCATTCATGGAACGTGGCCAGATCAATCCCAACTGCACTGACCAGGATGTACTATCCTGAAAGATTTCTGGGTGCACCCCGGGACAGGCAGGTGTAATACAGTTCTCAACTCAGCACTTCTCAGAAGTAATCCATCAGGATCAACTGTGGCCGATCCCCCAGTTGAACAGCTAGACTTTAGAATTCTTGAATGTACACTGTAATGGGTCATTTTCCTTGTCTGATGATCTCAATTTGAGTGGCAGTGCGCCGATCCTCAAAATGTCATCTCAGGGTATGCATGAATGATGTAACAGGATGGTAGTCCTGACACTCATTCTCCACTCGGAGCTAGACTGGAACTCTGAAATTCATCAGGGCCAAATAAAATATATATTTCTCAATACAAATGTAATTATCTCAGAAGAATATATTACACATCTCCAGTCCTTTGTGTATTCTCTGATAAGCAAGTTTAAGCAAGTTCACAAATATCCACACCTAAATTACATCTGATAACAGCAGATAGAATTATATATAGAAAATATATTGCATGCCCTAAAGGGAATAACAAATGATCACTGAATTTCTGGTATCTCACTTGGAGCCCTGGAAGATATTTGCTTTTGAATATGAAGAATAAATAATAAAGGCAGAATTCCCTGACATTCCTCCATTTGTTTATGTCGCTTTTTGAAAGCAAGCAGTCTGACCTGGAGGAGGGCAGGTGGGGAGGGAAGCTTTTTAATAGTTACCTCTTAATTTGGGCCTGTTATTTCTATCATTTGTCCATGTCCTTTTCAAACTGTTTTTACTCCCCATTGAAGAATCTGTGGCCATGTTTGTGCAGTACATAAACCCTGCTTAAACTTTTTCCGGGTGCACATAAGATAGGTAAACTAACTGTACATGAACAGTTAGTTCATGAACTGTATTTGCATAACATACTAAATTAAAATGTGATTGGAGTGTGATGGATTGCATGTTATGTGAAAACAACATTGATGTAATTTTACTGTCAGGCAGGAAATGTCTTTATAATATATTTGGTCTCAGGTGTCAGAATAATTTGAACAGTTCTGGAGCACTCTATTTTGTGATATCTGTCCAGTTCCAGCTTTATGAACAAAATGTTTTGGCAAGAACTGTATGATCTTCCCTAGTATTTTATCCTTACAGGTAGTCATTAATTTATTATCACAATTGAGCCTGAAATTTTGATTGGTTGAGGCACCGACATGGCTGTTTCACTCAATGAACACAATCTTGACTTTCCCAGTTGTGTCATTAAGCGATTGTGTGGGTCATTAAACAGAACGTGGGGGTGCTTCAAAGGATGGGAGAAGCCCTGGGAGGCTTGCTGCAAGAGGCCAAGCTGAGAATGTGCTGAAAGTGCAGCTGTCCCAGCTCAGCCCATTTGTTAAGCAACATGGCCAGGCTTGGATCTCAAATACAGTAGAGGCCTAGGGTCTTTAGCAGTCTCGGTCAGCTGCAACCAACCCAGGCCTCTACATCCACTCTAGCACTGCCGCCTGTGCCATTCTCCATTGTCTTTGCTGTCCAATGCTCCTGTCATGTGCCACTTACCATCAGGCATTTTTCTCCTGTTGTGGAGAGGCCTATGTTGCCCATCTGAGGCAGTTCCCCTTTGCACAAAGCCTTCATTCCTGTTCTCTCAAGAGTTTACATGGAGCCACTGAAGACTTCCCAACTTGTGCAGAAGCCACTTCCAAAGGTTCCAGAAACCTGTCATGGCTTTGGAAGGCCTTGGGAGACATTGGAGAGCCTTGCAGGCCTGTGAGAATTTGTGAGCATGGGGGTGCTACAACGGGGCGGGGGCAGCTGAAGGACCGGGTGGCACAAGCCTTCCCTACTGTCTCCCTTGCCCTTCAGCTGCCCCGTTTGTCCACACCGCTTTCCTCCTCACCTGAAGGTGCGTTCTGCTGGCACTGCTCTCGCCTCTCAAGCATCTGCCCTTGAAAGCTCTGTAAGCTGTTGCAATCACAGGCAAGCAGACGCTGGGAGGGAGCGGGTAGGCAGCTTCAGCAGATGTCTGGCAGGTGGAAGGAGGTGGCAGGGGAGGCTTGCGCCACCCAGTCATGGTGCAAGCCATAGGAGAGTTGGCAGAGAAGGAGGCAGTGGCTGCCACCGGGCATGTGATCTGCAGGGCGAAGCAGGGGCAGCCAGGACCAAAAAAAGCTCCTCCAGCAGTGGATGCAACTGTTGTGCAGCGGCGGCAGAGTCTTTTGCCGTCACTCCCGCCTGGCTCCAGAACGGCAGAGGGGGACTGGGTAAAGTGACCTATCCTCCCCCGTCCATCCTCCATAGCATGGCAGTCTGGCTTGGGAGAGGAGTGAAAGGGAAGATGCGGGTGGGCAGCTGGGTCACTGAATGAGCAGGGGAAGGTCACCGAGTGGGGAGTGGCCTGGCTGCAGGGGCCCTGAAATAAGCAGGTGTGGGGCATGTGGGGAAGCTCCACCCTCCCTTGCCTCATCTTATGGCAGCAGCAGCAGTTCAACACCCACTCTCCTGCCCTGTTGCAGCTGCGAGCAACCAGACAGTGGGATGGAGTGGCCGGGTGTCTGCAAAGTCAGATGGGTTTAACTTGCTATATCTCATCATTACCACATGTTGTGTTTTTTAATATACATTTCTTGCATATAGATGCTTTTTAAATCAATCAGACAATATAGAAAGGAGAGGAAATCATAGAAGCAATGATAGAAAGAACATCCTGATGCAATTTAATGATCAAGAGGTTGAGTAAAACAATGATTAAAAGTGTGCTAGACACAGTACTAATTGAGATAAAGGTACAAAAGTCTTGTAAAGGAAGAAGTTTAAATATTGTATGTTTGTAGTCAGATATAGGTGAATCTTAGTTGAGCTTTGTAGGAGAGATTTTAATCTCTTCAGTGGTGGGAGAAAGAAGTTGAGGAGGCATTGAAATAATAATGGAAAATCAGGGAGGGGAAGTCAAGGATAGAGGAACAGGTTAGAAGAAATATGGATCCATACTTGTATTTTTCTAAAACCCAAGATGGTCATAAATAAAACAAGGGAATGAAAAGAGGCTTTTCTTCTACAGTAATATAAGAGTAAAAAAATAACAGAGAAAATATATAGCCATATAATATTTCCATAACATAAGTAAACATTAAAGGAGGACAGCTATGTTAGTTTAGAATGGCAAAATATCAGGAGATTGGTATCACTTTTTTGAATAATATTATTAAGGCATATACACTTTTGTGAGCTACAGCTCACTTATTCAAATACATAAAGTGACTCAATTGATGTAGGATTTAAATTGGTCACCAACAAGATCAATGGATAAATCAATAGAGCCAGATCAATTTTCAGGAGGATCTATTAAAGGGCAGACCACAGAAACAGAATATTAGAACCAAGATTCTACAGGTTGTCACCTACAGCTCAAACCATTCATATACATTATGAATAGGTTACAGCCCATGTTGTACAATGACACTGCATTTTCTCAAGCATTGAGTATGCAAGCCCATACTAGCAACTATCCAGCCTGAAAATTATTTTCACAATCAAAAAGAAAAAAGATAATGTTAATAAGATCCTGCAAGCAGATACCTTCTTTGATTTGTCGCCATGTACACCAAGAGCATCATCACAGGCCCCAACAGATACAAAAAGAAAATTAGAGATGCCTATACATGCCATCATCTGCCAACAATGCCTTCTGAATTTTACGTAGAATAAATTGGACAAATATTTTGTAAAAAAGGATTAATGGGGACAAGTTTGAAATCAGGACTCAAAGTAATATCAGAACATTTCAATCTTCCAGCACACTCCACAGCAAACCGTAAAGTGACATTTTGGGGAAAATAGGATTTTAACAACACTGAGCAAAATCTTTTGAAGATACTTCAAAAGATTTCAAGCAATTTCAAAAGATGTCAACAAACACAAATTGTTTTAACATGTTATAATTGTTAATTGATAAGTAGTTTTAATTTGTCCCACATGTAATATTCATGTTCATAATCAATTTATCTTCCTATCCCTTCCCCCCACAAACTATTTTTTTATTTTATTTTATTATTTTTACACTGCCCATGTCATATAAGTGATTCTGGGTAGTTCCCCCTACCATCACACCCCAGTTTCAGTCCTCCTTGTTAGCCTTCCCAAATAGGTTAGAGAGGAAACAGATCAAAAGAGCAAAATTCCCTTCCATCCTTGCAACATTACTACTACTACTACTACTACTACTACTACTACTACTACTACTACTACTACTACTACTACTTATTGCAAGGCTACCTTAGCAGAATCTTGCAAGTCTGAAAGTACAAATCTCCTACCATCTCTTTTTTCAACGTCCTAAGTCAGAAAAGATCCTTTCTGAATTTTTTCTCTCTGACCATTAAACAGCTATGGGTTCCTCCCTCTTCTCTGGGCAACATCTCTCCCCACCCCCCAAGGTCATTCCCTGGGCAACATCTCTCCCAGCCCCCCCCAAAGTTATTTCCATGTACCATGTCACAATATTATGCATCTGATTAAGTGAGCTGCAGTGAATACAAGATGGAAAAGAAAGAGTTGTAATATGTTATTTGTTCCCTAAACCATGTGTCCGCAAATTCTTTAGCTGATCAACCCCCAAACATTTTTATATGAAAATAATGTAATAAATACTATTTTAACTATGAATAACAATAATAGCAACAACAATAATATTCTTCAGGGGGTGTTAATATTGATGACTTTGAAGAAGTTTCCCCTAAACTATATTTTTGTTTTCTGCTCTTTACAGGTTACTCTGTTCCTGCATTCGTCCACTCAAATATATCTACAATATCACATTCACTGTGCAGGGCTCTGAGAATTTGAATATCAAGCAATCGTATGTGATTGTTTGCAACCATCAGACAAATTTTGATCTTCTTGGTATGCGAATAGACTATCACATCTGGAATGTTGTATGAATGTTTTGAATTTTGATTCCAAATAATTTGAATGTTATTCATAACTTTTATTTATATTCTCCTCTCAATCTCCTTTCCCCATGAATAGAAGGCAAGATAAAAGCACAGGCTGAATCTTAGTAAATAGAAGCTTCCAGTTTTAAAGAGATGTTTCTCCAAATAATGTAAACATTCCTAAATCTGAGTTCTGCAATATTTTGATGTATCCAGATAAAATTGCAAAAGGTTTGCTCAGATGGAAATTATTGACAAAAGGTCTACCTGCTTGATTCATTTTTTTTTACAAATATACACTTGGCAAATCATACAATATAACTCAACATAGAAAATGCATGTGGCTGATGCTATTAGAAATTACACAATCCAAAATTTGTAAATAATTATCATTGTGTATAAACTTTCTAATGGAATTCTATTGACCTCTAAACAAAATAACAACCAATTTCTTTGTATATAAATGTATACCTTGATGCATCTGTTGCTTTTCAGCATTGTATAATACTCACTTCAATTGCTACTGGAAAACTTAATAGTATATAAAATAATAAAACAACTTTTAATTTAAGATCACCTCCAAAAAAGTAGATAGAAAGGACAAAGACAGAAAAAGACCATATGTAATGTCCCTCACCTAATTAGCTTATGGTTAGCAACTTCAGCTGATGCAGTTCCTAGAAATATTCCCTCACCCACCCACCCACCCCTATAAATGCATGCATGTATCATATTATGTGTTTCATTTACCTACTGGAAGCCACACATTGTTCAAGGCAAGGCCATGAAAAAAATATACTGAAAAACTACTGATTAAAACGAATTACCTGTAAAATAAGGTAGCCCACTTAATAATATTAATTGACTCCCATCTGCATAGAGCAACCATTATGTTGCATTCAGAAACACCCATTACAAGTAGTCCTCAACCTACATTTGTTTGCTTACTAACCTTTCAAAGTTATGACAGAGCCCTCCAAAAGCTACTTACAACTCCATTTTGAAATAAGGGAAGTTTATCCCTCCCACTGATCCTCACGAGCCTTGGCCCTGCTTCCCACCTTGCAGATCCTCACCCCCTCCTCCCCTCCCCCACTGTGCATTTACTTTTCAAAGATAAGAACAGCGGCTCTGGATTTCAAGTTAGGGAAGAAAGGCAAGCCACTTTGTCCCATTGTGTCTCTGGGCTGTGTGGCTGCATCCCAGAAGGGCTTGCCATTTTCTAAGCAGCCACAAGGAATTGTGACTGATCTGAAAACGGTGGCTGCTTCTGGAATGCAACCACCTAGCCCAGGGACAAAACAGTCAATTCTGCTTCTGCTTCCCTAATCCACTCTGTGCAGCACTGCAGAAAGCATCAGAAATCTCCACAGTATGGTACAGACAGTATTAAGGAAACAGAACAGACCATTCCAACCCTAAACTGCACGGCTACCTCCGGGAAGCGGCTGCCATTTTTGTATGACAACAATTTCTTGTGACCATTCCCTCCTGTGAAATGAGAATAGGTCTACAGGAACCCAAGGGGGGGAAAATCAGGTCCAAGACCTGTGAGAACCCTGAGGGGTGGGAAGTAAAGCATGGGGTATCTCAGGGGGTGGGGAGACTTTGGAACCCCCTAAGATAACTTCACTTAATGATCTGGGCAGTCATTTAATGACTGCATCAGGGAGAGCAAGGATCAGGGTTATTAAGCGAGGCAATCATGTCACCTCGCTTAATGACCATCACAACTTGCCACCATAGCAGGCAGACTCATGAGTCGAGGACTACCTGTACAAACCTATATTGTCTTCAATAGATATAGCCAAAAATTAGGAGAGAAATAGAGGAAAGGAAAGAGAAAGAAAAGAGAGATGGATGGAGATAAAACAAACACCTGAACAGGAAAAAAGAAAGAAAAAGGTCTATTAAGGCATTACAAAAAGGGTTAAATTCACCAGATAGTCTCCCCAAGCCACTGTCAATCTCAAAAGGCATCCAGTTTTTCAGAACACCGTTTTGCACCATTTGCCCATTTATTTTTTTATTTAATATGTATTTCATAAACTACAATGACAGAGTTCACACAAATAAAACAAATCACATTACGGCTTAATATAGTTTGTAAACCCAGAGTAAGTATGATTTTGTTTTCCACTCTTCCCAGCCCCAAAATTGCCTAGAAGGTTGATTTGGGAGATATGTTAGGTAATGGATTATTCAGATTATTTGAGCCATGGCAGTCTCATTCCTCTTTTTCTTTCTTTCTTTCTCTCTAGCAATGGCAGAGGTCCTGCCAGAGCGCTGTGTACCAATTACCAAAAAAGAGCTGCTATACTGGGGGCCTCTGGGTTTCTCTGGTTGGTTATGCAACTTAGTTTTCATTGATCGCAAGAAGAAGCACCAAGCAAGGGACACCTTAAGGCACCTTGCAGAGAGGATGCAGCATGAGAAGGTGAGCACTGAGAGAGAAATTTGATAATATTATTTTATTTTGGAAGAAGCATGAAAATGGGAGGGATCCAAGTATGATTGGAAAACTGCTGCAGCTGATGGTATTGACTATTCTTCAAGGTGAAAGCCAGTGGTGGGATTCAGCCAGTTCGCACTACTTCGGCAGAATAGGTAGCTAATTTTTTTGTTGCCTAGGCCCAGAATGGATTTCCAGAAGCGGTATCCATAAAGAGAACCGGTTGTTCACATATTTGAATCCCACCACTGGTGAAAGCTATGTACTTTGTTCACAGAAGATCCTAAGTTCTAGTATTTACAATTAGAAGGAGCAAACGAGAATTCAATTTCTGACTGAAATCTTGAAGAGTCATTGGCAGCCAGAGAAGATTGGACTTGGCTATATGGACAGATAATCTGAACTGGTATTCGGCAACTTTCTCTTCTCCAAGTATCTTCCCCACTCTCCTTCAATGGGTGGATGTTGGACTTATCTTTATAATGACAGCCCTGCTAGTTGAGTATGGGTATTTGAAGTCCAACACATCTGGATGGCACCTGCTGGGAAAGATAGCCTTAGGACAATAATTTTAAAAACCTGCATTCTATAGGTACTAAAACAAATGCTCCTAAGATCTCAAATTACCTTAAACTTCTTTGTCTGCAGAGGAAGGATCCCTGAAATCAGGAATGCTCTTATATATTGTGTGTGTGTGGGGGGGGTGTTATCTCTGTTAAAGGATCATTAGTTCTTTGAGCCTACCTTGCTCATTTAGTTGGAAGGGACAAAGTGATATATGGATGCTCAAGCTTTTAGAAATGATTGCCTCCCTCTGTTTCTCCTCTTTACTATTATTCTCAGCTTAGTTCCAATACTGTTAAACGGTGAGAATGTGAAGAGAAGTTAATTTATGATACCGTCTTACTATAAAAAACTGGCCTCTTCACCACCCTTCTTTTATATGGAATCTTAAACAATTAGCCACTGAATATATTCCACCTCAATGGCCACTCGTGGAAGAAACCAGTACATCTCATTATAGCTGAATTATTCTGGAGCCTTCATTTTAATACGAATACAATCTCTTGTCAACCTGCCTAGATGTCAAAGAAGCTAAGCAGGATTACAGCCAGCCAGGACTTGGATGGGGGACTGCTAGGAAATGCTAGAGTTAACTAGATTACAAAATTAGAAAAATATCCCAGAACGTAGCACTGGCAAACCATTTTCATACCTGATGCCAAGTAAATAACATGAATATGTCCATGTAAAGGATACAGTTCTGCCACTATTATCTCAATTTTGACTCTAAAGACAATTTCTCTCTGTCTAAATAAAAGACAGATGGAGGGAGAATTGGTATTTGGTGCTTTAGGGAGAATAGAATAGAAATGGATGTGTGGGAAAGTTTACTTCAGAGGGGCAGATGGGCAATGCTGGGGATTGCTAATATGGAGGCAAGACAGTATCCAAACCAGGGTATCCTGAAACCTGGAAGAGTTTTTCTATCTCCCCTCCCCCGCTAATATCTCCAGGCCTTTAACTGATGCAACCTTTACCAAACATGGAAAGGCAATGACAATCCAAGCATACTACTCTTGGACTATGCCTTTCTGGAATCACAGATATACTCCTATGGGGGGGGGAATTAGAATAAGAACCTTAGACCTGCCACTCTTTAGAATTTTAAATGAGTGGTTGTGGTGGGGCATCACAAAATGGCTCCTCTGGAAAATGGTCTGTTCACAAAATGGCTGCCACTCTAGCCATGGTCCCTCACTAAATACCTGTTGATCTTTACCAAAAGATGAAAGAGTTCCTTCCCTCTCCCACCCACTGATGATTTCTAATATCCTTGCAGGTCCTTTGCAACTTATGTTTCTTTCTTTCTTATTTTGAGAAATAAGAAAGAAATAAGAAATAAGGCAGGCAGAGAGGCTGTTGACACCAATTGAGAGTGGTTTATTCATATGTAGTACTTTGTTTATTCCTGGAGTGAAAGGATGAATTAAGCGGAAAACTCCAGCTATTTTAGAGAAACAATAAAGATGAGTAATATGGCAGACTTTTCCCAGATTCCCTGAATTTTATGAATTCAGCCGGAAGATTGTAGAGAGCCTCTACTTGTCTATCTTAAAAGTAAATGTCCCTAATTATGTCTCTTTTTTAATTGGGACCTAATCATTCAAAGGTTCTTCCTTGGGATATGAGCTCATTTTTCACTCTACCATTTCCCAGTCAACCTGAGGCAGTTAGCATAGGAAGTAGCACATTAAGAATGAGTCAGACTGTGCATGTCATTTCTTTTCCGGGTAGTAGGGCAATTCTTTAGACAAAATAGCTGAATAAGGCCTGAAATGTTTTCAGAAGATAGGCTGCACTTTTCACATTATAACTGGTGACCTTTTTTGTTTTCCCTGCTGTTCACCTACCCAGCTGAGGATATGGGTTTATCCAGAAGGTACCAGGAACCGAGAGGACACCATGCTTCCCTTCAAGCAGGGCGCCTTTCACTTGGCTATAAAGGCTCAGGTAAAAAGTTCCTAAAGTTGATGCTTTGTGGAAGAGGGAAATTCTGACTCAGATGTTGTCAGCATTGCAAGGTAAACCAGATAGGAATCACAAACATTAATTCTACTTTATTGTTATACTATATTGACTGAATAATCTTACAAGTCTGAAAGTACAATTTGCCCGTCTCCTTTACTGCCTAAGAAACTAGAGAAGGTCTCTTCTGAGTCTCTTTCCTTGCTTACTATCCAGCTATAAGCTCTTATCTGACTCTGAGCTGAACTATGAGTTCTTATCTGTCTCTGGAAGTGCCTCTTTGCCTAGGCTCCCAAGGTTTTTCCCATTTTCCACTACAGATGTCAAGTGCTATCATAAATACTACAGTTCAGATTTAAAAGTGATTAGTAAAATACCTTTGAGAAATTGCAATTTTATATAAGTAAAATGAAATTGCTGTTTCCATTCTTTCCTTCTTTTCATTTTACATGTGGATAAAAGCTTACTTGAGCAGAAATAAAAGTAAGATGTCCTCAGGTGGAGCTTAACTCCTGATGACACATATTGCTGTTATCTTGGAACAATACAACAGTGGTGTAGCTTTGCCTCCTCTTGAGGTGTTTTTTTGACTTCCTAGGCTATCTTACAATCCTGGAATTTCTTAATGGTCTCCCTTCCAACTACTAACCTGAACTTTAGCTCTCAAGCCTAGACACAGACATCCAAGTATTGCTGAGGCAATATTAAGGCTGGGCATATTAAGGCTGGGCATACTTCAAAGATTATTTGGAAAAGTGCTTTGGAACTTGCACAAGTGTAATATCTCCCTTCATTGAAGTAGCACTTTTTTCAGATTCATGTGAGCTATTTTTATGAATAGCAGGGAAGTGCCATACTTGTGTGAGGTCTAAAGAATTTCTGCCTAATCATTTTTGAAGCATACTCAGCCTTGATATATATGGCAACATATTTAAAAGCTGATAATTCAGAAATGTGGCATTTTGTGGCATTTCAACATCTAATACATTTCTTTTGCTTGTTTCATGATCCTAATAGCATCCAGATATGGTCTCTCATAATTCCCACTCAACATTGCCATATTGACCGGGAGTTATAGGGCTTGTAAATCAAACCAATAGGACCTCAATGGTTTGGAGAAAACTATATAGAGTAAATTTCATGAAATGGCACCCACTTCTCCTAATACATCAAGTAGAACTAATTTCACAGAAAATGGAGAAATTGGGAGATTTATTGACTTGTTGATCCGAAAATGTCTGTTCCTGATCAATTACAAGTACTAATTAAAACTTTAGAATCCTGTTCAGAGATGTGAATTAATCTTTACCTATCTGGACATTTTCCAGATATCTCCAACTTCTAGAACTGTCAGCAATGGCCACATTGGTGAGGGAATTCTGGAAGTCCACACATCCATAGATAGTTAGATTAGTGAAAGTTGTTATAAAAATTGTGGCTGCAGAAAACTATTACAAAGGAGGGAAAAACTCATGATGTAATTCTCCAAGATTCTATCTTTCAACTGCCTTTTATCCTTTAGGTCCCTATTGTCCCTATTGTGATATCTTCTTATGCAGATTTTTACAGTTTCAAGGATAAGAGATTTGAGCCAGGTAAGTCTAAATGGCAAAGAACCATGCCCAGATTTTTCTTTTTAATTGCCATCAGTTGCCCAGTCTTGCTTAGAAAGCAACGTAAGCGATAGAAATTCTATTCACCCATTTTGATTATGGTGATATACAAATTTCATAGATGAATAGTTCTGTTTACAGAAGTAAATTTTTTCATCGCCTTTCCCCAGAGATTTGTATGATATTTCCATATAGTAGTTTACATATTTAGCTGCAAATTTAGAATTTTTTGCTTATAATTTAGATCAGCGGCTCCCAACCTTTTCTATACCCCGTACCCCTAGAATGCTTCTGATATATTCTTGCACCCCTTACAAAAGTTCAAAATAACGGCAACGAATTATGCATATACACTATAATTTTGAAAACCCAAGTTTTCGTACCCCCTGGAATATCATCTCGCACCCCTGGTTTAGATAATAATGACAATTGCAGTATTTGTGAAATTTGGATTATCTACAAATATGCAATAAATAGAGGCAACTAACCTAGGTTCCCCTATTGATACCTATCATATCCCAAGATCCAACTAATTTCTTCTATCTCTGTCCTATTATTCATCCTAGAAACTATCTGTCTGTCTCTTTCTCTCTTTCACACAAACCTGGATCTTTAACATAAAATATTATTTGATTTTTTAAATGTATGCACTGTACCCAAAATCAAAGAAACAGACATTTACATTCTCTTAAAATACTAATTTTCTCCCAGACCTATAACTGCATCTTATCGTATGCTCCAAATTCAAAGGGCAATGTTTACTCAATTTGTCGTCCTCTGAAAAAGATTCTTGAATCTTATGATTACTGGTTATAATTATAAAAATATTAGAACATTTCTGGCAACAATATTTATTCCTACCAGATTTGTATATTTGTACATAATCAGGATTCTAACTAAAATACAGTAAATCTAAATGTTTCTCTTGCTGACCATTTAAGAGCTGAAAGTCTCATCCAGAGAACTAGCAGTTAATCCTCATTTATTTATTTTTACTTTTGATATGAAAAAGACCTTTTCTATACAAACAGTAGACAAGATAAATCTACTTCCAAATGGACCCAGTTAAATAAGCTTCAGTAAGGGAGAAGACTAGATATCGTAAAGAGAGAATTCTAGCCTTTTCTTTCAAAAAGATTAATGCAATTTCTTTATGTAATTTTTAGGCTTTGTAGAAAAGTATTCAGATTTCCTTTGTTTATATTCCAAAGTGCATCCAACTACAGTTTAAGCATATGAGATTTTTGTCTAGACCAGTGATGGCGAACCTTTTAGAGACTGAGTGCCCAAACTGCAAACCAAAACCACTGATGCATCGTCGGGTGCCAGGTGGGTGTGGCCCATTGGGTGGGCATGGCTTCGGTAGTAACGGCAGACTGGGTGGGACTAAAAAGTTCAATCAATCAATTCCAACTTTGCAAGATCTTTTTTTTTCCCGCAAGAAGTTGAAATTAACTGATGGATTGAACCTTTTTCTTTTGTACACAGCGGCGGAGGCCTAAAGCGAAAAGGTGTTATAAAACCCAGATGAAGGCCTAGGACTGGGGCGACGGCACGCGTGCCCACAGAGAGGGCTCTGAGTGCCGCCTCTGGCACCCGTGCCATAGGTTCACCACCACTGGTCTAGACTATGTTCATTCCAGAATTAAAGCAATTATATTTTGAGGCTGCAGCCCAATATCCATGTTAATAACCATTCAAAACTCCTCCAAATATGATACTTATGTGAGGTAATTCCAAGCAGTTTCCTGGAAAATATTCTGTAATTTAACAATCTGCATGTGCCTCTAACATCAGCTGCAGCGAGAATATAGGTGCTATTTAAATGTCATTCTTATCTCTTTCTTGAGCAACTTAATCCTTTCTGGAAATATCCAATTTCTACATAAGATTATGGTCTTTCACTTTTCTCTCTCTCTTTGATCTCCAATAGGTAATATAATTGTTCGGATTTTGCCCAAGATAGAAACACAAGGGCTTGACTTACAGGATATTTCTGGATTGGTTGAGAGCACTCACAGAATGATGCAAGACACTTTTAATGACATTTCTGGGAAGATTGTGCAGAGAAGGATGAGAGACAGTAACTGCTTGTGATCATGGAAGCTTCAGAAAAAACACTGGTTCACGCACGATGGAAGTAAAATAAGAACATTTCTCTCCTAAACAAGGCCAGGAATCAATTTTATCCTGAGTTGGAAAAAGACTAGCACATTGTTACCTTGCTATAACATACTAACTACATATGATCTTTTCCATAGAATCTGTTTTAGAGATGATGCGTACAATAAGAGGAAGATCTCTGTGTCTACTTAAATCCACCATCACTAAATATGGACTGTTTGATCATATACCTGCCATCCAAGACTTGAGTTATAATATGTACTTTATTACTGAAGATAAATTAATTTGAATTAATGCTAAAGCTGTGAAAAACAGGTGCTGTGGGACTCCCAAGATAAAATATGTGAATCTACTTTGAATGAGATACATTATTGTATCCAGGAAGTCATCTTGGGAAAAACCTGAGTGAGTCACTCAACAAAGGTGGATTAGGCAACCCAGTGAGATGGACAAAAATGTGTTCCCGAGGTGTGATCTTCCAGACTTCTCCTCAAAGTATCACTCTATACTACAGGTGTCAAACTCGCCACGTCACATGACGTGTCATGACGTATCGCAACTTTTTTTGCATTGCCGGAGCAGGGGTGTATGATGCAACCAGCCCGCGGGCCAGCAGCTTAACACCCCTCCTCTATACTATCACGTTGCAGATTATTCTGACTGTAATACAGACCATTCCTTATATGGAACTATTCTAGCAATATTCAGACTCGCCATTTGGTTGGAAGATTCCAAAATGGAATGTTTTTTGTATCACCACATTCTGCAAGTATAGCCAATTGTACATAGCTTGTTTTAATTGGCTGCTACTGTGCAGTATTAATCTTGTACTCTTTGTGTTTAGATTTATAAAATTGCTACGAGGGATCATATTTTATTCTTCATTTCAAATGCTTTGGGCAGGCCAAAGAGTAGGAGTAGATAAATATAAATATATTCTAAAGATATGTAGGATGCATTATTCTCAGGTGTTTGAGGTTAAAGAGTGATTGGAGACCTAAGCTTGGCTGCAGCTCTAATATTTAAAGGACAGTTTCTATAAAACCATAAAAGAAAGGTTAGAGTTTACACATTTGGAAGGTAGAGGTTCAACACTGGAAGTTTTTAAGAAGAGATTGGACAACCATTTATCTAAAATGTTATAGGGTTTCCTGCCTGAGCAGGGGGTTGGACTAGAAGACCTCCAAGGTCCCTTCCAACTCTGTTATTAAATTCTATTCCATTCTAACTCTGAAATTCCTAAAAGATTCCACTCTAATATGAAGTCTTTGAGAGTTTGACTCTCCTTTTAAACATTTTCAGCCTTGGACATTTCTTATTTGAAACTAAATCACTAAGCAACCCTTTGGAAATATTAAGAAAAAACTGACATGGAATACAACCTGTCTGAGATCTACTATGCCCAAAACTCTGTTCTGGGGCTGAGGCTAGAAGTGATCTCTGTTGATCATACATAGCACGGAAGTACAATTTCTAAAAGACCAACCCAGCAATTAAGACTCTTCTCATATTCATTATCAGAAGATCTCTTATCTGTGATCTGAAGGAAGTGCCTAAATATGAACATGAAGTATGGAGTTTTCTTCCTTGTAACAGCGGGATATTGCCCAATGTCCCATGTGAATCAGGTTCTCAAAAAGCAGGTCTTGGACTAGCTATGTTGATAATAATTGCAAGACAGAGCTGGTAATTAAAACGTGCTATATCTGATATAGAACGGCAGGCAAAGGTGAACTTTCCTATTATATTCAGAAATTGTGTTAAAAAAACATCACTTCAGTTACCATTGCAAGGCAAGCTACTCTTATTGTGTCCAAACCTCTTCAAAATGCTGAAGATAATAGAAAAGTCTGGGTTTGAGTGAAGGAAAAAACATTTTACTTTTTACTTTTTCAAAAGATAACTGGGTTTTTTTAAAGAATGTTTTGCTTCTCATCCAAGAAGCTTCTTCAGTTCTGACTGAATGGTGGGGAATAGAAGGATTTATATTGTTTGCAGTCATCTGGTCATTAGCACTCTGAGGGACAGTCGTTAGCTCTCTGAGAATCATGAGGCCACTTTATCTGTATCCTCAAAATCACCTGAGTCAGAGTGCCAAATGGATATGGAACATTCTTGGGATTGCAGAAAGCACTGTGTTGTAGACAGCAGGTAGTTGGCGTTGTATCCCTCCCCTATATTGAGAGAGGGCTGTCCAATTTTAACATAGATGGTCTCTTTGATCCCTATTTCAAACCTATGATCCTTTCTGTCCAGAATGTGAATTTTACTATCTTCAAAAGAGTGACCTTTGTCATTCAGATGCCTAAAAGTCCTTTCAGCAGTTTCAAGATGGTTCCATACTCATTTGCACTTATTCAAGTGACTCTGAGGATACAGATAAACCCCCAAGTGGCCTCAACGACTTTCAAAAAGCTAACTACGACCCTCAGAGTGCTAATGACCAGATGACTGCAAAGAATACAAATCCTTCCATTCAGTCAGAACTAAAGAGACTTCTTGGATGAGAAGTGAATTGCTTTAAGAAAAAAAAACCCAAGAAAGCCCAATTATTTTTTGAAAAGCACCTTTGGGACAACCATGACTTTGATTAATAGCTATTTACTGATATAGAGCCAACATCAGTTTTTGAAACAGCAGAAATGTGCAAGTTGGGTTCAGGGCCAATCTGATTTTCAAGTTAGGTGACATGGCTATGCCAGTGATGGTGAACCTTTTAGAGACCGAGTGCCCCAAAATCGCCCTGCCCCTGGCCCGCCCCCGCTCCATGCCTGCTCCACTCCCCGCCTGCCAGCTCCTGCTCCGCCCCTGTCCCGCCCACCCAACGCCTCCATGGCTCGCTGCAGCGGATTGCCCAGGTAGCCCTGGAGCGCCATGGCAGCCACGCCCTCCACCTGTGCCCCGCAGCATCATCACACGATGGGGCGCAAGGGCGGAGTCTTATCCCTACTGCCCAGCTGCCATGTCCTTGGCTGCGCTGCTCTGCGCGGGCTGCGCCTGAGGGCGACTCTCCTCCGGGGGAACTGCTGGTGAGGAGGGGGCCGCAGGGAGAGGCAAGGCTGGGGCGATGGCACACATGTCCACAGAGAGGGCTCTGAGTGCCGCTTCTGGCACGCGTGCCATAGGTTCGCCACCACTGGGCTATGCTCTAAAACAGTAGGTGGAGTATACAGGAAAATGAGAATTCATGTAGTTACATTGAAATTATATTAAATAATTATATTAATGATTACTCTGATGGTAGTTTGATAATTACAATTCATTGTCTCATGTTCAGGAAACCAAGTGTGTAGAATGCACACTTTAATAAGAAGGTTCAGTGTAATGCCAGCCTGGGTGGAGCAGATTATATACCCATGATAATGATATGGATATCATTCTGGGTTCCTGAGAACATTTTTTCTGTGCAAGGTACTATCCATACAATAGCACTTTTTCATTTTAAACTGTTAAAACAAGAGTGGGTAACCTACAATTGGTGGGAACTGCGTGTAATTTATAAATGAATAAATAAATTTATAAATAAATAAATTATAAATAAAGTGGTTTGAGTCAAGATGTGTTCATTCCTGTTAAAAAAGGGAAAAATTAGAGGCTTTTTTAATTTTAAAATTTGCTTTAAATTACTTTTAGATATCCTGTATATTTTTCACACCTAAAATGGCAGGAAAACATTTTTGTCCATTATTTATGAATGAATTAGAAGCAGCTATGAGGGCAAAAAATAAATAAATGGCGTAGCAGTTTCAGGAGGTTGCCCACTGCTATGCTAAATGAATGGCTTAATACAGACATGGGGACTTTACTATACTATTTTAGAATGAATATATTTCTTAACTCACAGAGAAAAGCCCTGTCTGAAAGGCTATATAAGGACTTTATCCTGTCCAGGTCAAATCCACTTTAGAGATATAAAATTAAAAGAAAAATGAACCTCTTTTTATTTTTTACATTTTGATACAAAGTGTTTGAAATTAATTGATTTTGTGGTACTTTTATTATATTTTATTTGTAATAGAGAACACAATGTGATATGGAAACACAATTGTTTCCATATCTGTCATGGATTGTTTTATCCAGGCCTCTTAAACTCGTTAAAACTATTAAGCTTTTAGTCTTCTGTGCTGATTTTATATCAATCTTGTGAATTCAGCTTTCAGATATTTATTATAATAATAATAATAATAATAGTAAAGTTGGAAGGGACCTTGAAGGTCATCTAGTCCAACCCCCTGCTCAGGCAGGAAACCCTATACCATTTCGGACAAATGGCTGTCCAATCTCTTCTTAAAAACTTCCAGTGTTGGAGCATTCACCGCTTCTGGAGGCAGGTTGTTCCACTGGTTAATTGTTCTCACTGTCAGGAAGTTTNTTCTTGCTCGGGCAGGGTCGCCTAGGAAACGGGCCAGGGGCGCGCCGACCGAGCCTCCCTATGGCCGCGGTTGTGAGCCAGGCAGGGGCAGAGAGCTGCGAGTGCGAGCGCGCCCCCCAGATGTTGCGCCCGGTGCGGCCGGCCCGGAAAAAGGTGCCGGAACGCGGTTCCGCCGCGTTCCGGCTGAAAAAAAGCCCTGGGAACACTTATATTATATTTTAGCTGTTGACACTCATATTAACAACAATGAAGTGAAGAATAGCTTTCCTCACCCCTTAGACAATTTTCTCACCATACATCTGCAAATAGAAACTGTGTGTGCGCATGTGTGTAAAAAAAGAACAGACTTAGCTATTTTATGTTGGTGGAGATGCAAGAAGCAAAAGGCAAGCTTTATATATGTGTGCAGTAATCTTTTAAAGTTGTATTATGAGAAATATTGAAGATTATATATTATAAATTTATATATATAATAAAACCTTGAGATTCTATTTCAAGGCTATTTGTACCATAGAAACAGAAAATGGACAACAGCGAAGGATCCCGTGGTCTGTTGAATCTGCCGTTTGAATTTTTTATTTTGTTTTTTTATTTATTTTTAAATTTTTGTTGAATGAAACACATGTTTATCCCAAACATGTTTAAACTCAGTTACTGATAACTGACCCACTACTTCCACTGGAAGTTTGTTTCAAGCTTCCACTATTATCCGTGACATAATACTTTCTAACATTCTTTTGAACCTTCTTCTTGTCAATTTGAGGTTATGCCCCCATATTTTTGATTATTGCCTAATAGTGAAAATGCCTTCTAGAACCTTATTTGCATCCTTTCCCTTCTGTCCTCTAGGCTGTATATATTCAGTTCCTTAAATCCCTCCTGTTATGTTTTGTCCTTCAGGCCTTGCATCATTTTTG